ATGAACACGTCTTGAAAGCATTACGTCTTTATGGATTAGAGAAACAGCGCTATCTGATCGGACGGTGTAAATATACAATGTGTAGGATGCAGTCAGTCCCTCAATACTAAATTTAAAAAATACAATCTATACCTGAATTCATGTCCGGGGTAACAATAAACGTCTGAAAATGTATTTGATTATTTTTCTTCTTGTCAATTTTCGGGACGTCTGTAATCTTTAGTGGAATATACATTCCATATTGCTAATTTTACCGGTAAATGCCATCTATTAAAAAAGACTAATGTTTATTATGTTGACGCGACAATTGAGTCTGCATAAGTGACTGTAAACGTCTGTGCGCAACGTCTCAGTATAGGCCTACACGTACGGTGGTCTACTGCGGAACCGCTGAAAACGTGGTTGTAGAACAATCGGATAATTTTGTGAACCGGTCCCAATGTGTTGCGAACGCGAAATAACTTGTTACACTGTTATAATAGGAGGACATTGTAACCGTGAACCGAAAAACATTGACTCCATGGATACATATCGAATGCATAGGCCTACTGTGAGCGAGCTCTTCAAGTCAATGACCCAATGTATGCATTGTAAGCGCCCTCTATAAACTACGGATCGCGGTTCCAACTACATGCGTATTCACAAAGCTCTCCTCGAAAACAATTGTCCACAGTGACCGCATGAAATCAAACCAGGTACCGTTACAAAAATGTCATCCTTAAAAACATCAATGAATTACATTTAAACGTATAGTATACACTTTATACAGTAACATCTTTTATGCTTTGCCTAATTTATGTTGTTTTGCTGAGCATAATGTAATTAACCTATTGTTCCGATCGCCGTCGTAAAACTATACCATTCATCCAAATGACAAACAAATTCATATATAATCCCTACACAATACATCCGGTAATCCTCTTATCTTTTGACTGACCGCAAAATCCCTCCTCATTCCTCCTCAAACCTCCCCCCACAGTTCCCCATAGAACGTGTACAAAAAAGGGGGCGGGGCACTACCTATACCGCCGTGCAGCACTACTCAAGGTGCAGAAGTGTTTCCAGATGTGTCATGTCGGCTCTCCTTAATTGCAAAAATGAGCGAATGACGGCAGGTTGCGGGAGAGATTTGGGGTCACTAAATGTAAAGGAAATTAACAGCATGATGGTCACTGCTGACGGGATTGGCAAAGGACCCCACTGTAGAGAATTTCTCAGGCCGATTTGTGAATATGAGGTCGATTGCGGATCCAGTTGAGGTCAATTAGTTGTTTGAAGGACGAGTTACATCCAAGGGCGGATCCAGGGGGGGGGGGGCCAAAGGGGGCCATGCCCCCCCCCCCAAAAACGAAACCAATTTTTTTTTTTTTTAATGTGACATCGCAATAAAGGCAGGCAATGAGTACACCCCCATCTTTTCCTCAAAAAAAATTGGTTAAAGTGGTCAGAAATTGCCTCAGATCGCACCACAGAGCATCTAGAATCCAAAAAAATTTCGGGGCCCTCGCGGGCCCCGAACCCCACGCCGTAATTTTTTAGACCCACTTTTTGGGGGACCAAAATTTTTTTTGGCCCCCCCCCAAAAAATTGTGTTCTGGATCCGCCCTTGGTTACATCATCAACGATCTGAACAAGTCCAATGGAGTTCGACATCTTGGAGTGCGGTCTTAGCAGTAGAGTCTGTTAACCAGTTGATGTTGAAATCACCAAGCAGTATGAGACCTTCATATTGAGGAAGGACAGCCTGTATTGTATCACAAGTGTCTTGAAGTTTGTCGAAGAAGGTTATGTCAGAGTTTGGAGGCCTGTAAACAATTCCAACTTATTGGAATGCTTTACAGTTAACGATAGCCAGGTGAGTTCAATGTTCTCAGGATCAAAGTGGTCAAGATGTGTTGGTATCAGCGCGTCGTTGATTATGGCCATAATACCACCACCTCGGCTGTCTCGGTCTCGCCGGATAGTTGTGTAACTGGGTATGAAGAAATTGTTTCGGTCTCATTAGCAGACAGCCATGTTTCGGTGACGCAAACGATGTCCGTAGGATTAAGTTCTATGAATGATTATAGTTCCTGTTGTTTTTTACGTATGCTGCGAGCGTTGAGAAGTAACCCGGAGCTAGAGTTCTTGGGGCGTGCATGCATGGAGGTTGGGCTCGGGTGTTGGGTCATGAGGATCAATTAACTTGTCATCAGCCGTGTTTCCGGTTACATCCTGGTGTCACCACATGGCGTGAGTTACGAAAACACGATTTATTCAATTAAACTGTTACGATTTTATCGAAACAACATGCAATATCACATTTCATATTAATATGAACAAATTGGAAAGGAAATGAGTATTTTTGAGAAGGCGTGGACGAATGATCGCGAAAACACGTACTGCACGTTTTGAATAACAACACCAAGTACACGATAAAATCCATTTCTAGCCAATTGAGGTATCGAATCAGGATACAGGAAGAAAGTTTCCTATCCAGGGTTTACTATTGGAAACGCGGTTGGAAATAAAGTAAGCACTGGGGACGAGGTTGCTTTAAACACGGTCTTCGTGAGAAAAAAAAAGGACAAAAAAACGTGACAAAGAAAAGGCACTTCGGAAAAAGGCCGCTGGTACGGTGTCCCCATCGTACGGCCGGCAACCGACGGACTGTCGAGTTGTCTGAGGGTGCACACCGGTAAATAGGCCTAAATCCATCAGCCGAGCTCATGAATAAAAGTTATATTCTCAAAATATTCTATATTAGAGAGTTCTGAGCGCCGTAAAATTGGGGAATGGAAGAGATATGGTAATGAACCTCTGGCCCGGACTTGGGGCTTCCAAAAGTTAATGGTCAACCCACCAAAAAATGAAAAGAAAACGAAAGATGACATGTTGATCATCATTTTTCTGTGCAGCTTGAATACCTGTGAGAGTTCTGAGTATTTTTAAAAGAATTTTGAAGTATGGGCATTTAGCACTAGTGTCTATGGAATTTATTTGCAGGGTAGCATCCCTGAGCACTGACGGTCGAGTCGGTACAGTGTCCGAGCGAATGTCAGACAAGTCGACCGTTGAGACAACTCGACTCGGGACAAGTCGACCGTTGAGACAACTCGACCGTTGAGACAAGTCGACCGTTGAGACAACTCGACTCGGGACAACTCGACCGTTGAGACAGCTCGACTTAATGGAAATGTATACACGTGGAGCGGAAAAAGTTGCAATAATCTGTGGCAGGACCGGTCCCGGGCGCGGCGCAGGCATGATACTTGATGCACAGAGGGCGCTCCGATCCGGTGGCCGTCGCGTTGGGACGGCGCGCCCCCCGCCCCGCCCGCGAGGACCGGGCCCGGCCCGCGGCACGCGGGCACGTTGACCGGCGCGGTAAGTGGGCGCACAGGCCCGGTGTCACGGTCTCACTTCTCCGGCGTGCTAGCTTCTCCGGGTGGATTTGGCGGACAGTTGAGCACGTTACAGTGCACGTCACATGAGCACGATTCATGCTCATGTGTCCCCTGTGCTTACTTTTCCTCGGGCTGTATTATAGCTCCATGGTATCACCAAGCCTATTAATAACACAGTGAGGGGAGGGACATCCAAGAATGTGTTATGTAACACTTAATTCCCGCATGGTCTTGCAAGCATTCTGATTTGTGTTCCAAGCGTCATGCATGTGTGTGTGTTCATGGAGGAATAAATAAGAACGAACTCCTTGGTCCGTGTTCCTTGCTCGTTCGTGGTCCATTTGTCTTTATTTTTGCAACCATGCGGCTTAAAATAAATGTGTATCTCAAGTCTGTTTTGGTTACTGGGAGTTGTACGCGCCACGAAAATTCTGGATTCGACTGGTACCCTGTAACCATGCATACAACTATCCTATGATACTACGTGCACCAGTACAACCCCGAAGTTAACTCAGCACACAAATAAAGTTGACGAAAATGTACACCACTGCGCAATTTTGTGCATGCGTGTTGAAGCGAAATTTCCCTTTCGGAGAAGCTAGCACGCCGGAGAAGTGAGACCGTGACACCGGCACAAAAGATACCACCGTGCACGGTACGGACAAGTTGACTGGGGATGCGCGCACAGGCCCGGAAAAAACGAACGATGTGCACGGACAATCACGCTGCGCTATATCGGCTCTGTTATATATGCAACAAAAAAAACTCATGTGTCATCACTTCCAAATGGCGATCAGCCGCCGTCAAAAATCCCCGGTACTATCCCCAAAAACTAGGCCCAAAAACATGCGAGGCGACTTGTCTCACTGAACGGTCGACTTGTCTTTCCATTTATCGCACATACGGTCGAGTTGTCTCAACGGTCGAGTTGTCTCAACGGTCGACTCGTCCCGAGTCGAGTTGTCTCAACGGTCGACTTGTCTGACCCCCGTCCGAGCTGCGCTTTACAATCTATATAAACATTGTTAGACTGGTTCCTGCCAATATCCCTATCCAAAAGTAAGTATCTCCAGATTACGCGAGCGAGCGGCAGGAACCAGCTCAATCACCACCAGCGTAATGACCGTTTTAGCCGATTTTTGGCTAACTTTGACAGATTTTTTGTTAAAAAACGAATTTGACAGAAAATTTGACAGAATGTATTTTCTTGGCAGATTTTTGGTAGAATTCTGCAAAAATGGTTATTTGATAGAAAAACATAGCAAATTTGAAAAAAGGGTAGATTTGTTTAAAAAAAGCTTCAATCTTTTAAAACAAACCCTTACAAAATAGGACAGGCTGCTTTGTCTAAGCTATGTGCTGAGGTTCACTAGGAATCAGACTTCGTCGTGACGCAACCTTGTTTTGACTTAAATTTACGCAATTTCATAATACCTTTATTATAGTTTATATGACTATAAACTGTTTATAATGTGATTTGAACCTTAATTCAAACATCTGCATGTGAGTTTAAGTGTTTATAGTGTATTTTGAGTAATTCATGGCATTTGGCAGATTTTTGATAAATCTGACAGATGTTTGAAGTGCATTTAGCAGAATTTTTCCATGACCTTACGGTCACCCAGACCACCAGCAAAATTCGTTGCAAAATGGCCGACAGCAGCACTAGCAAGATGGACGTTGCCGACATCGCGGTTGAAATGGGTGTAGATCGGTTCATAGAAGATGAGGTAGAATCAGACGGAGTTGGGATGAAACAAAATGAAGAATGCGAAGGCACAGGAAATTATGAATTTGATCAGACTTTTGTTTACATAGAACACATTGGTGAAACAAGTGGGAGTAGTCATGTCAGTGAAAATGACGTAACGATAGGCCTGACTGGTCAGGAAGATGTTGCTCCATCATCATGCCCATCTCTTGATCAATACTCAGTGAATACCACATCATCCCTTCCGAGTCGTGATGCTCTGCAACAACGTGATCGTGACAACAATCGGGGTGATGGATTCATACATCACACAATATCAGCCGATCAAATTCAGACACAGATCAGTCATGTTGGGCCAGGATATCCTTTTGATGTGCCTGATGACATAGCAGGGGCAACCCTGACTATGGAAAGAACCAATCCTAAAACTCAGAAAAAGGAAATACAGAGATATAACTGTGAATTTGAACGTTGTAATCGCACGTATAGTACGCCAGGAAACTTGAAAACCCATTTGAAAACTCACACAGGGGACTTCAGTTTCGTTTGCAAAGAAAAGGGATGCGGTAAAGCTTTCTTGACAAGTTACAGCTTAAAGATTCACGTCCGTGTGCACACAAAGGAGCGTCCATATTCCTGTGTCTCAGAGGGTTGTCAAAAGTCCTTTAACACGTTATACAGGTGAGTTAAACAACCTTTGCGTTAAGGCATAGGCCTACTCCTAGAACTATGAGGCTCCACGTAGTGGAGCCTCATACTAGAGTCAGAACCCCGCAAAATTGTTGTCAGCACAAAACACTAATTAAGTACAAAAACGTCCATCCCAACCAAGCTTTTTCCCACAGAACCGCTGCACAGTTTGCCCTAGCCCGACTGCGTCTGGCCGTACAGTACTATCGCAAGCTCTGTAGTACGGCCAGACGCCCGATGCTTCCACAGAGACTGAATTTTTTTGGCCGCCGATGTAGCGATTTTGCTACATCTTTCGATCGCGATTATCTTTTCATCCAGGACACAAATTTCCAAAGTTAAGGTTCGTAGTCGTAGAGCAACTCATACCTTTTCGAAAAAACGTTCTTTGGTCTCAATATTTTCATCCATCTGGCCACAAGACGAATTTCAGTCATCAGATTCCACAAATATCGTCCCCCATGCGATCCCCCATGCGATTTCAAAATGGCGGCCGCGCTGTAATGTATGCATTATGCGAACGCATTATGCGAAGTTTATGACGTTTGTCGGACACTCAGCGCGGCTGGCCATACAAACAAGAGGTCATGAACTAAATAATGCATATTCATTATCTTGCCCAAGCGCGCTCGCATAATGCATACATTAAAGCGCGGCCGCCATTTTGAAATCGCATGGGGGATCGCATGGGGGACGATATTTGTGGAATCTGATGACTGAAATTCATCTTGTGGCCAGATGGATGAAAATATTGAGACCAAAGAACGTTTTTTCGAAAAGGTATGAGTTGCTCTACTACTACAAACCTTAACTTTGGAAATTTGTGTCCTGGATGAAAAGATAAAAGCGATCGAAAGATGTAGCAAAATCGCTACATCGGCGGCCAAAAAAATTCAGTCTCTGTGGAAGCATCGGGCGTCTGGCCGTACTACAGAGCTTGCGATAGTACTGTACGGCCAGACGCAGTCGGGCTAAGTTTGCCCCTAAACTCCGTACAATACCTCATGACATACATACGTTATGTGCACCCAACAAACATCGGTGGATTCTGTCTGTTTTCGGCAAAAATGATGAAAAATATGCCCTTTCCGCACTGAGCCAACCTGAAACTTGAAACGTGCACGCGCGCAGAATGATCGCAGTCATTTTCGGTTCGATCGCTCGGAGTATTACTCCTAGAACTATGAGGCTCCACGTAGTGGAGCCTCATAGGTTCAGAACCCCGCAAAATTGTTATCAGCACAAAACACTAATTAAGTACAAAAACGTCCATCCCAACCAAGCTTTTTCCCACAGAACCGCTGCACAGTTTGCCCCTAAACTCCGTACAATACCTCATGACATACTCACGTTATGTGCACCAACAAACATCGGTGGATTCTGTCTGTTTTTTGGCAAAAATGATGAAAAATATGCCCTTTCCGCACTGAGCCAACCTGACACTTGAAACGTGCACGCGCGCAGAATGATCGCAGTCATTTTCGGGTTCGATCGCTCGGAGCGCGCCGCGGGGGGTACGTACTTGCACTTGTACGCATGCGCATACTATCGTTCCGCTCCTACACCATACCCCCCGCGGCACGCTCCGAGCGATTGAACCGAAAATGACTGCGATCATTCTGCGCGCGTGCTCGTTTCAAGTGTTAGGTTGGCTTAGTGCGGAAAGGGCATATTTTTTATCATTTTGGCCTAAAAACAGACAGAATCCACTGATGTTTGTTGGGTGCACATAACATGAGTATGTCATGAGGTATTGTACGGAGTTTAGGGGCAAACTGTGCAGCGGTTCTGTGGGAAAAAGCTTGGTTGGGATGGACGTTTTTGTACTTAATTAGTGTTTTTTGCTGACAACAATTTTGCGGGGTTCTGACTCTATGAGGCTCCACTACGTGGAGCCTCATAGTTCTAGGAGTAGCATAGGCCTACTGCCATGACTGCTATGGCCTACTCAGAGGACAATGGTTTTGTATCACTTGGAAATGTTAGATCATGTGGATAGGCTTGCATGAGTAAACATTTTGTGTAGTGGGAGAAATCGAAGATTTCAAAATCATGTTAAAAAATTGTTATTCAAAAAAAATTTGAACTGAATAACAGTTATCCGATTTCATCTTAAGTTCCCATTCAGCTCACACTATCATGACTATAGTCACAGTCATGTCAACACAAAGTAAAGAGTGATGTGTCACATGCAATGCCCTCCCCATGATTGAGTACTGGGTTTGCAGAGATTCAGTGACCATTCTGCCTTTACAAAAACACATCATACCTGTAATGTTGACAAAATGGGTAGGAATCCTCTGATAAGTTGAATGGGCAGCAGGCTATTCATATACGAAGAAGACAACTAGCAAGTAACTGCAGTTACAATCAGAGACAACGGAGCAAATGAGAGGATGTTCCAGTTGTTTTTTTTTAGCCTGTGTCAAGAAAAAGGGAAGACCTAATTTTTTTTAAGGTTGGTTTGTAATATCCGGTTTACAAAATCGAAAAACGGGGTAGTAAAATTCAAACCAAATTAAAAAAACTGGATTTACATCCCACCACTACTTTTGTACGTACTTTGTTACTAAATTCCAATAACAACTAACACCTTCTAAGGCCAAAAAAAAGAATAGTTCTGCTTCCGGTTACCCGACCGACCCTATTTTTAGGCTGCGACCCTAAAAATTTTATCGGCAATTCCCAAAAAAAATATTTAAAAAAATGATTGAATAAATAAAAATAAAAACCTTATGTCTTGTCTGTCTTCACAAAATACCTCTCAACAACCCTTTTGCATCAAAAAATGCTTGTATTTATTGTTTTCTTACTTACATTCGCTATTTTTTCAAAAGAAACCTTCGTTATTTTTACAAATTCGCTGCGCGATTCAACTACTTCGCAATTCGATGTCTATAATCACGTGCGTAATAAGCGCAATGCGGCGACGACTGGTTCCCGCCGCGCCGCGCAGGGGCCAATTATGAAAATGCGGTAACTAGTCTGTGCACACACATGTACAGTGTACATGTACAGTGCATCACACACTTTGGAGTTTTGGCCAGCTCCCCTTCTTGACTAGCGTTGTGCCTATGGTGCGAACGACCTGAATTTCCCACAATTTTTTTTACGAATTATCGAACGTAAAATATATTGACAATAATTAAGGTAGGTTTTATTCACTTTTTGTGGCCATTTTGTGTATAGCTTTTGTAGTGCAATGGAAATAGTTCAGGCTAAAACTTCGCATATAATTGAATACCCCATTCAATCTGCATAAAAAAAATTGACCAAAAAAAAATAATTCCGACCGACCGACCCTATTTTTGAAAGGCATGTAATCGGAAGCAGAACTATTCTTTTTTTTGGCCTAAGACACCTGCAATACAAAGGGCCTATTTTGGTAGAAGTACATGTAGGTGTTTGTATAGGTGCGGGCGTTGTTGAAAAAAACAGCTGATGAAACCATAATCTTGAATTTGTAACGTCCCAACTTGGTAGTCGGTCCCAACATTATGTTGGGCCTGTCCCAGCTTTGACCAAAGTAGTTTGTGTAAGTTGTGCAGGCCTATTACTTGGGTTGGGCTTTGCAACTGACAAGTACGTACATTTGTACTTGTACGTAGGAAAGAAGGTGCTGCCCATGGTGGGCCTGCCCAACTTGATGTATGTTTAGACCAACAACCAAGTTGGGGCGTAACATATTCAGTTGTATGTAACTTTTAAGTCATTGGTTGCCATGTGCTACCATTCAGTGTTAAGAAAATGGGCCTGGAATAGCCCCATTCAATAGCCACACATCATACACATGGGAGTAAACTCTGTGCTCAAGGCCATACCCACATGAGCTCAAAATGTCATTGTAAATGTTTTATTTGTATTTGTCCTAATTCTGACCTTATGCACAGCAGGCATCTTATGATCTTGGAGGGCACTGCATGTGTTTTGCTGGGATATGCATGACTGGACCTTTTGTTCATTCATTGTTGCTGAATTAAGATACCAAAAGATGTCCTCTCAGATGGCTGCTATGCAAAAGGTCTATTTTTGTGTCACTTGTGCAATTGTGCCACTTTGAAGAAAAAATAATTCCAGGACTAAATCTACAGCAGAGAAAAAGTGTTCTTGCACCCCATCCTCCAGCCTTGAAACTTATTTGATTCAAAACAAAGCTCTTGGTATTAATTCGGATCCCCATCAGATCAGTACAATGTATCATATTTGTTTTGAAATCAAGTAATTTCTGGGTACTCAATTCTATAAATTGTTTAACTTGTCCAGATTGAAAGCTCATCAAAGACTCCACTCAGGATCCACCTTTAATTGTGATTCAGAGGGTTGCACCAAGTTCTTCACGACATTGAGTGATCTCCGCAAACATATCAGGACACACACTGGTGAAAAACCATTCAAGTAAGTTGGACTATTATTGCAGAGTGTGTAAGGCTCCATTAATTTAACCCTAACGTACCTAAATCCATCAAAATCCACCCCCCTGTTTCGGGGGATTTCGGCGGATTCAGGATACCTCCATATTGAACAAACTGGGGGATTTTGATGGACTCAGGATTCGAAGCCTAGCGGAACTGGCGGATTTTGATGGATTCAGGATACCTCCATTTTGAGCTATTGGGGGACTTTGATGGATTCAGGATCTCAACAGTTTAACTCTTTTGCAATGTTTGTGGTCAAGTAAATACTGCTGGCACTAGCCCTGCCAAGTCTGTCACATACCGTACAAACGTGTACACACATGTACTGGGTGGACTTCCATGGAGGGTCACGTGCTGGAGGAAAGATACAAATAATGCGCGAAAACGTGACGAACGCAATGCCGTTTACGCGCAAAGAACACCATGTGCATCGCTAATAATTATGTGTGCGCATCGCGTAAATACTCGGTACACATTTCTTGCTTCGCGCGTGTTGAGCTAGGTCACGTGCTGGAGGAAAGATACATTTAGCTCCATTACTTTACGTTAATTTGTTGCGCGTCTATGACAGACAACCAAAATGGCGGAGATTTATCGTACAGTGACTGGGCGCGTGTGGACGCGCTGCCGATCTAGTCTTTTCATTCTACATGTATATCTATGGTTTACGGGCTGAAACATGCGCTAATGTCTTTCACACAAATTTTGTGCGCGAGACGTATTCACTTCGGTACTGATCCATGCGGGAGTCGCGAAATTGGTGTATTTTGATGGATCCTATGCAACAACACACATTACAATTTTCATGCGAGCATGGTATCCTGAATCCGTCAAAATCCACCAGAAATTTAGGTGATGGATTTTGAAGACTCTATGGAAAAACATGCTGTATTTTTTTTTATGCCACCATGGTATCCTGAATCCGCCAGAATCCATCAAGACTTTTGCTGGTGGATTCTGGCGGATTCAGGATACCTCCAGAATCTACACTGGGGGATTCTGATGGATTCAGGATACCAGCAATTTTTGCATGACAAAATTGGTGGATTTTGGCGGATTCAGGATACTTTCTAGTAAAAGAGCCCCAGGAGTTAGGGTTAACACAATGTTTTACTTTGTCATTCCACTTGGACAGGACAGGATTTTGCAGTCACAATGTGATCGCTGTTATTTTGTTTAGTGCACAGTTCAGGGAATGGTTAAATGAGAATGTCAAATTAAGGAAGCGTCCAAGCATGTTGACTTTGTATATTGTTGCTGTAGGTGTGAGAGTTGTGGAAAGGCTTTTGCTGCAAGTCATCACCTCAAGACGCATGTCCGAACACACACAGGTACGTCCATACATATAGCAGTTTGAAATTATGTCAGGATATCTGGAGAAGAGGTCCATGCTAGATTGATATAAACAAGTCATCATCATAATAATACTACCTGAGTCTTATATAGCGCGTGAATCTACCATCAATTAGGTACTCAAAGCGCTAATTAATATAAAATTATTTGCGCTAATTAATATGAAATTATTTTAAAGACAGGTAAATGAAGTATTTTAAAACATAAGATCATTTTATGAAGCATCTCATAAAGGGTTTACAAGGTGCTACGGCGCATTAAGCAGCCACTGTCAGAAACATTGGGGCAAACCCCTTCCCTTAGCGATAAGTGTTGATGGGTTCTTTTATATGCATTACACAATGCACGGAACCTAACGCACAGCTTTACGTCCCATCGGAATGACGAATCAAAAATAGTTAAGTGTCTTGCTTAAAGACACAAGTGTCAAGACTGGGACTCAAACCCACACTCTGCTGATCAGACACACCAGAACTAGAGTCCGGTGCTCTTAACTGCTCGGCCATGACACGCCACATGCCACCTGACAAAGTCAAAACAAAGTCACCTGACAAACACACCATCTCTATCCACACCTTCAGATTTTCACTTTACTTTCACTTCAATAATAGATACATTGGTTCATAATGCTTACACAAGTGTTGTATATACTGGTGTGGATAGTTACTGTCTGTGTTGTTTTCCACAGGAGAGAAGCCCTATTCATGTCAGGAGGATGGTTGTGATCGTTCCTTCAATACTCAATACAGCCTGAAGAGTCATAAGAAGGGACACGATAAACACTCATCATCAACCTCTGTGCCAATGTCAGACTCATCAAATCTGGACAAACCACAGGTAGACCGTCTCAACACTGTCATCCACTGGTGTCAATAGACCTAAGACCTAATGATGTAGTGAATTTGTTTACATTATGTGCTTTCCTATGGGAGCGAAGTCGGGACGCAAGACGAAGTAGGGACTGTCTACCACACAGGAACGCGCACATGTAAACAAAGCGTGGCGTCATTAGGTCTCAGGCCTGCTGGATCATGTCAGATGATTTTTGTTCATCTAATATGCTTGTATTGAGCCTTCTTTTGTTTTTAATTGAAACTGATTGGGGATCAACCTAAGGCCACCAAAAAAAGTTTCCGGTTTCTGGTCTGCCGCACATCGCCATAGCCATGCACGTCGGCAAAATAAAAAAAATAAAAAATTTCAATGCAAGATGATGTCTCAAAACCACCAAACTCACTGGTTGTTGGAATCCTGCTGCTGCGCAATTTTAACGTGTTTTTAGTTAGGGTTACCACCGAGTATAAGCTTTTTGTGGCTTTTCTGGGCTCCCATATATTTTGCACTAAATTTAGTCGGGCACCATTTGCAGACGGTGTTGTAATTTTGTAATTGTGCGTCTGGAAGCCAGACTGAGGGAGCGATGGTAAACGCTTTTTAATCAGCGCAATATGTAAGGGAGCAGACTAATGACCAGCCTGGCAGCTCTTACTTGTTGATGTTGATGTCGCCGTATGGTCGTACGTTACCGTTTTCTCTGTTTTTTGTCTTGATTATCCAAATTTACCAAAGAATGTTCGTGTACGTCGGTTGAGATTGTAGGTGGTTGCAGAATTCTCAAGCCTTATGGCCTCACTGAGGTCACCTCAAGCTGTACTCTGAAGGATATTTTTTAGAGTTTTAAGGGGATCGAATCGTCATCTGCAACATCAGCAGACATTTGAAGAAGAAAGTTTAGTGGAAAAACAAAAGAAAAAAAAGTGTCACCCCACCACTTTTGGGGTAAGCTCCATACCAGAAACCGGAGACTTTGTTTTTTGGCCTAAAAGGAAAAGTGGCAACTTATGAGCATTATGATGTCATCCTGGCAACCAGTTTTATGATGGCGTCTGCAAAGTGTAATACGGTAGAATTTTGCTACTGTGCACACAATGGGGTCCCAATACATGGGCATAACAGTCATTTACTAGAGCGATTTTTGGCTGTAAATGCCTGGTATGATTGTACATATCACTTGAGGGCAAAAAGGGGCAGTATGTCATGGCTGAATTGTCATTATAATAACGTTCATTATAGCAGAGTTTTGTTTGTAATTTCACATATATTTGATGTACAGTGTTTTGCCTTCCCGTTTACATTTGTCCATGCAGAGAGATGATGCTATGAGGCAAGGCATTGCAGCAAATTCAGCTTCCAGTAGTTTGGTCAATACAGGCTGCACTTGCACTTGTGGATCTAGAAATTCAAACGTGTCCGCAACAAAGACGACAGAGGTATGCATGTAATTTAATTAATTAAGTATTGTGTTTATTGTGATGTGGTTCATGGCGTTTTGGTAGAGTGAGGGTACTATTGCCACAAAAGTATACAAAGCCCATGAACCACATCACAGCTGTCATACGATTGCTTTGTTTTACAGATGCATAACCTATACAAAATAAGAGAATATGAACAGGTCCAAAAACACATGCTTTTTAGAACTTTGAATGACATGCTTGTTTAACCCTTGATGCCGGTATTATTCGGCCACGGACAGCTGCACATTGGGTGGAATGTGTACGTGCAGGAATTCAGCCGTTGTCTGTGAATGGATGTGCTATGTAGCAGGAATGTGGCAATAGCAGTCCCCCACTAGGCCCAGCTTGTCAGCTTTTATCGAGCTGTATCTAGAGTTGTCAGCCGGCGTTAACGGGTTAACATGATTTAATTAATAAAAGATTTTTGTTGAAAATTTGTGGGGAAAATTGTGAGTGGGAAATAAATCATAGTTATTGGCCCTTGTCTTTGTCTTTTTCTATGAATAAAGGCCACGCCCATCTGCAGTTGTATCCATTTAATAAAATGAGCTCAGATTCTTTCGCTTTCAAAGTATTACTGTGTCTTGAAGCATATTTTTGCCCAAAGATATAAGCCAAAGTTTGTTTTTTTCCGTTTCATTCCTTGCTAGCAGATGCCCATAACTGATATGGTAGCGACCCCTCCTGTCCAGCCGCTGAACACTGACAAGGTTGACATTGTGAATACTAGTGAGCTTCCAGTATCTGCACAGTCTGTCAACCAATCAACAGGTATGTAGTCCAGTAGACAAATCTGAAAACAGTACTGGAGTGCTTGATGGCACTTTTGTATTTATCCACCAGAAGATGAGGGATGTCCCTTTTAACTTCTTGAAATATTCTGTTAATAACCGGAACCCAAATTAGGATGGCCAGTAAAAGAGAATACTCAGCTCAGGAAGAAGCTGAGCTGTCTACAAATACTCCAATTCCTGTAAAATGATTCAAATTTGGAAGAAAACTGAGTCCTACGGGGATTCATGAATGCACCAAAGTCATGGATTAAATACATAAGTATCTTGCTGAATTTATCTTTGTACAGTATTGTATGGTATTTTAACCAGTAGTTCTGTAGTCCATACCACTGAGTAATGTGTGGCACTGTAATTCAACTAATAACTGAGCTGGCTTAATTGCACTTACTTCCATTTACATTTAACAAAGAACTAAAAAAAAAACTCTTCAGTTCCAAAACTTCACGCACACTTTAATTTAATTGTTGATCCCTTTTGTTTGACAGTTACAGAGCCCAAAGCACAACACGCTGGACAATCTGTGATCATTCACAGCATTCCATCTGGCCCAGCTGGTCAAAACCTGATCATTACAATCAATCAAGATTCCTCGGCACCTACACAGGTGGTCATTACACCGCAACACCAGGTACCTCAACAGATTTGTAATGCTACACAGGTTATGAGCATCAATCAAGCCAGCACCAGTCATAGGTCGTCAGGCCAGCAAACTGCTGAAACATGCGTACACCGTGCAGAAGCAGCCAAGTCACATGTTGATTGCAGCACGAAATCTTGTACATTAGAAGGCACAGGTAAAGCCACAGCATGTATCCCTGCAGTAGCGCCAGTAGGTTTAACCATCACTCAACCATGTCCACCTGCTGTAACAGCTAATTCATCAACCATAGTTCCTGTACCAGTTTTACTTACTATCGGTACACCTGATCACGCTGTCATGCATTCCCACTCTGGTGTTTCACAACAGACTCGGATCCAAGTCATAACAGATGAAAGTAAGTTACCCAAATCAGTACCAAGTTGCCAGTCAGAATGTAGGAGCTGCCTGCCTCCTGCAACTGCTGATCGAGTGGTTGCTAGGCAACATACAGGTGGATGCGGCGTCACTACTACAAGGCAACCTGTAGGACAGTCAACCATACAGACAGCGGTTGGTTCAACAAATCCAGTCAGTCAACCAATGCTGACAATTTCAGACACCTTCTCTCTGAATCCAACAGCTTCTACTCCAGCACCGTTAAATGAACAGACAACCGCATGGAGCACTAATTCCTATCCACATGCTTCCTCTAATTCTTCAGCTGTGTCATCCACAAAGTCATATACATGTGAGAATCAACAAGCAAGACGGACAGAAGATATGATTAAATCTTGGTTAAATGATAAGAATACCAGTATGTCACAGGCCAATGCTGATGTTGAATCCAATGCTAACAGCTCCAATGAAGTAGAGCGTCGGCCTTGTCTTCTGTGTAACTGCACATGTCCATGTGAATGTAAAGAACAACTAACCAAAGGGGATTTCCAAGATGGCATGTCGGTCATTTCATCATTTAGTCTGAGTAATTTCCCAGATTTTTAATTCATGTGTTCAAGGATGAACACGTGAACAATCTGCAATTGCTCATTTCTCCTCTACTCAATTGTATACAACTTATTCATACACAAGTTTGAGTGATGACATTGTGAGTTGCTGATTTGTCACACTTTCACAGGACTAACATACATGTATGATCTGCTGCTAGTGCTACCAAGATTTGAAACCAGCTGAACATAGGTGGAGTTCTGGAGGTGAAGTAGTTCACATGTCTACTGAGTAGTTTATGACGTCTTCTGAAAGACTATCAGATAATTAGGATGTTTAAAGCTATAGTCCATCATTGGTAATTAGTGCATTTTGTTCGTTTGAAGCAACAAAAGTGTTCAAAATCTCATGAAGGATACTGAACAACTTACTTGATGAAGTTTTCAGCTCAGCTTCAGCTTCATATTACGAGAAAACCAGCATTCGAGGATCTCAATTTAAAATCAAAAGTTGCTAAATCATGTTTCGAATTGTTTTGAATTGCAGCTATACGCGATTTTGCGCACTGATCCGACAAATTATAGCAACCGCGCGCGCCTGTGCGTCGTTCCAATGCTTGTGCGCGCTGCGCCGAATAACAAAACGAACAACAAATTTAAATTTTCCTACGGTGCTTCTTTCGTTGATTTCTTCAAAATGAGAGCTTACCAGAAAGGATAATTTCACAGGGAGTTTAGTCCCCTTACTATCTTTCAACCAGTATGTTTTTCAACAATAATTACGCCGGTTACTTTTTTGGATAGCTGCAAATGATGGACTCTGGCTTTAATGTAGTTAAGGTTTCTAAATGTAATGTATCGCTAGGCCAAAAAGAATTTGTGTGTTTACGGTGACACCCTAAAAACAATCCAGGTAGGTAGGAAGAAGAATTTGATTTTGTAACTTTTTTTATGTTTGTAAGTCTTTTATACTTAGTTTGTTTAGTTAAAAATACCTTGAACAATATTCTCTTTAAGTTACCCGTTTAATTTTTTCAGGTAGAGTAGATCATTTGCAGCTATCCAAAAAGTAACTGACCAAATTATTGTTAAAAAGCTTACTTGGTTTAACCCTAAAGGGGTGGGGGGGGGGGGGGGTGAAATCTGCCCCCACTCAATTTTTTCTGCAATAGCCTCGAAAAACAAAAATGTTATCGCGACCCATGTAGTGTACACAGAGCAGAATTACCATTCGTGCATACTGGTATGAATAATTACTTAGCCATAATTCCAAAATCTTTGACCTATAGTCATGAAATTTCTTGGGTATGTTCATGATAAGTTGCTCTTTGTATGAACCGATTTTTATAATTTTTTGTCACTCGATGGCCGAGATCTTGGGGGGGGGGGCGGAATCCGCCCCTTTCCCCTTGACACGACGCACATGCATGAGGTTGCTAGTTTTCGTTGGTTCAGTGCATGACATCGCGTAGCTGCAATCGGCTGAATGAGGACGTGTTGCAGATGCTGATATCGGGCACACTTCAAAATATGACTCTGAATTGAAATCAAGATCCTAGAATATTGTTTTCTCAGAATATAAGGCATTCAAAAGAGCAAAAAACTTAATCAGGTTAGTTGTTAATTACCTGTCTTTAGATTTGAGCAATTTTTTTGCTTCAAACAAAACAAATGCACAAACGTCAAATGATCTACTCTTCCTTGAACCAACAACACACACACAGACATTGTATAGGGAAAACATTTTTATATTTAAAGAGGTGGTGGAATGCTTGAAGACATTTCCGTCATTTTTCGGGTATATGTAGCTTAAGGTGTGATGAAATAAAAATGACTATTGTGTCTGTCATGAAATGAGTACAAAAGGTACTTTTGAGAGCTGTTTTTCAGGTCCTGTTTCGACCCGAACGTGCAATTTGTGTAAAAATCGTCATTGGGGGCAGCAAACAAAACAAAGTTTAAAATCGTGACGTAATAAACAGGACTCCCGATGCAGCGTAGTATAAACGAGTCCTGTTTATTACATCACGATTTACTATGTTTTGTTTGCTGCCCCCAATGACGACTTTTACGCAAATTGCATGTTCGGGTCGAAACAGGACCTGAAAAACAGCTCTCAAAAGTACCTTTTGTACTCATTTCATGACAGACAATAGTCATTTTTATTTCATCACACCTTAGGCTACATATACCACAAAAATGACGGAAATGTCTTCGAGCATTCCACAACCTCTTTAAAACATACTTATTTATATGTGGCCAAATATGGCAATTTAAAGTTTGAGGTCGGCAATTTGGCCTAAAATAATTCAGGTAGGTCGGGTTACTATAAACACACAAATGGTTTGTTGTACTAAATACCTATGACAGTTTACCCATGGGTGGCCTTGAACCAGCGTTTGAACACTGGTCAGCGCTATTTAAAGGGAATATACAACATTTGCAAACATCGAAAAATAAACTACCACGTTTTTACGAAATACCTTACTAGGATGTTGGTAAATGACAGTCTAAAGCATCCTGTAAAATTATGGCACCTGGTGTGAAGTCATTTTCAAGAACATGGTATTTTTTGTATACATTTCCAACAGTGGTCGGCCGACCACCGTTGCAAAAACCTAACTATTTTTCAACTTCTGCTCCAAATTTACCATTTTTGTTCAGTCCAAATATTTTGTTTGCTATTGGTTACATGTTCATGAACCGGTGCAGACCAGCTAGACTGGTTCCCTTACCTTACAATTTTCTATAAATTGATCCATTTTATCTTTAGTGGAGTCAGGGAATCAGACTACCTAGACATTTTTTTTGTTCTTGGTTTTTCCAGCATTTTCGAACACAAAACTTCAAACGTGTCAGTATAACAGTATTTGATCTATTATACTAACCCCTCAAATAGTTCATTTCTGAAAATTACAGCAAAAGCCAATAATGTACATTCCCTTTAAGACTGGTCTTAAACAGCGTGCATGACCCTGGGCTCTGTGCCACATACAAGCAGTATACATACATGTACATGGACCATGCACACCGGCTACAACTGGGTGTTTGAAAAGCACTTGTGTGATCTGCACCGTGCGTATGACGCGCACTATAAAAGTTGCCTGAATGTGGATTAAAATGGTTGAACAAAATTATTGGAAGTTTGTCAACTCTTCAACTTTTATGGCTTTTGAACAGAGAGGTATTTACAAATGTATGAATGGGGATAATATTGTGATGGGGCAGTTGTAAACGTGATGTTTAAAGCCAGGGCTTGGTTGCTGATAATGGCCTTCACCCTCAGATCAGGCCATTATAGGCAGTCGGGCCCCTAACTGGTTTACACCGTATGTTTATAATTGTCCCTCCCACTATTATCCCCATGGTATAGCTATATTAGAAGTCAGAGATCATTTACCTGTACACCTGAATGTGCGGCAGCTTTTGAATATTTGTTTCACATGAATGCTATGCATTTTAAAAGGAATATATGTTTCTTATGAAACTTTGTACATATGTAACATTTCCTGATATGAAAACATGAAAATATAGCTTCAAAGAAAGTATACCATTTGAAATATTTCTAAAAAATATAACACGATCTTCTAATAAGAGTAAATGTAAACAGGTTGAAATAACGAGTGTACAAACTAAATACACAGACGTGTATCTGGATAAATGCATCAACAAATTGGTTAAATTATTTGATTTCGCAACATTCATTGGTTAAGTTAAATATTTATGTATCTTTGGAAAACAGAAATGAACATGTTAAATATGCATGTGACCAAATCTTTAATGTGCTTTGAATACAGAAAAATGTTTGTGTTGAACGTTGAAAAGTGAAATGTGTGTGTAAAGAATTGCAACTGTAGCAACTTTGACTTCCTTAGGCAGACATAGGCATCAAGTGCATTGGAATATTTGAATGATTCAATTCAACTGCAGCATTTAATATCTCTAATGATTCACATTAAAATGAAGGTTCTAGAATCTCATGTGAATTGATGAGAAATGTATTGAAACAGTCATGCTTCTCATAAGAGATGCCATGACCCTTTCCATGTAGCAGTTAAAACAAATTTATTAGACTGTAGTAGTGCTTCCTTGATAAAGTTTGGTGGTTTCCAGATTGTACACACTTTGCCTGAACTGCCTTATTCATTGATTCCAGAATAAATGTCAGTCCATTAACAGTGTAACAGAAGCATTGCTTACTTTGTTTAAGGCGTGTTAGGAGTAAGTACAGTAGCCAATTAAATGGATCAATTCATTCAATTACTTTTGGATTTTGATGTGTAACACAGAAAATGTTCATGAAAACATAGTATCTGCTTCAAGCAATGTAAGGCAAGAAATTAGATGTACTTTGTTCTGTAGTAGAAGTGTCAATCCTGTACATGTTTCGGCCTGAAATGTGGCAGTTTAAAAAATACTTCCTAAAAGTTTGCACAAGGAACAGACAAACATCACCTTGTAACTGAATCATGGTGTACATATATTAAATGGAACTGCATAACATAAGTTAAACAAGACATGAATATTCGTTCTTTGTATGATTGCAGTTGCATTCACTAAAAGTTATCTCGCAGACTGCGTGTCAATTATTGCTGTTATACAACCGTTGCTTCTTTCCTTCGATACTGTGTGGCAAGGATTGAGTGATACCATGCAATAGATCACTTTTTCTTAAAAATGCTAAATTTCTAAATGTTCAAACCTTCACAAAGAAGGATATAGGACCATAATAAAATATCATATAAAAGTATGCAGTTGCAAAGAAAAACACTTGTCTTTATTTCTAACTTGTCCATATTTGCCCAAACAATGCATGGCAGTGCTGATCCATTTTAAAGTTAAATGTGAAGTTTTTCATAACCAAATTATGCAAAGATTCCACTTTCACCCTTACTTCCTTAAGGAGCGTTAATTATAGCCCTTTGTTTTTATTTTCCGTGTTTTTCCTGTGCATTGATACAAATACGAGTTATCTTTATTATTCCTAGTAAAACTAACCTGCCGAGGTGATCCATGAAGCATTCTATTTTTCCCCCGAGGCAAAGCCGAGGGAAAATAGAATGCTCCATGGATCACTGAGGGAGGCTATTTTTACTTCCACCTGGTTCCATACCCAGGTGGTATGTCCAGGTGTGCCATACCCTGCGAAAGCGCGCGTTCCGCACGTGCCTCGCGTATTTTCTTGGTGTCGAGACAAGACAGTTGTTTGAGTTTGCGGTCCATGCACAATTACGTGTCAGAAAGCTCTAAAATAAGTGTTTTTAGAGGCTCCATCCTTTTAGATTCGACATCCACATGTTTATATGCAAGTTGAGAATCATTACTTTGTTGTTATCTAGATCAAAGTCGCACATTTGCTGTGTCAAGAGACATCATGCGGGATGAATGCTATGTTTCTTAAGCCTTGTAAGTGTTAACTTGATTGCTGGAACAACTAACGTTGGCTCTTATTTATGTATACAGCCTTTGAGTAAAAGATTGTTGACTACTCCGTCTTGTATTTACCTTCACATTCTTTATGGGCTTACATGTATGGATTATTTTCACAGTTTAAGAACACGTGACAGATCTTTAGATG